GCTGCTGGTGTGGCGGACGCTGCCATTATTATTATTGTTGTTACTGTTGTTGTTGATATTGAATGATTTTTTTTTATAAAATCTACACACACATGCACACCTACCTGTGTACAATGAGCACTGCGCAGTTGAAATATTTTTTGCATGAGACTGGTAACAAGAAATTTAATGTAAAATCAACAGAAACAACAAAGAATGTGTGTGCTGGGTCGCCATCGAAGCAGAAGTGGCAATTGATTGGCAAAATACTTGCGCAGAGAAGTGGAGATGGAAAAAAGATGTCAGCAATAATTTCACATTGTTTGCCGTGCTGCCAATTGGAACTGCTATTTGCTGTGGTTGTTGTTGTTGTTGTTGCTGTTGGTGGTGTTGCCGCTTGGCAGCACGGTAATTTAACAGCACCGTTAACGTTAAGTGTGCCGCTGCACTGTGAAACCGATTCGAGCGATAAACATCAGCTGAGCAGCCAAAACTGGAACCCAAAACTCGACCGAACGAACGAGCGAACGAATCTTTTCTAATTTGTGCGTATTTAGCTATAATGCAGCTGTTTTCCTCCCTTCTCCTCCATCTCCGGCTAATCTTTGTTTTCCTTACCACTTTCAGTCTTTATGCAAATTAGCCAAAACTGACAACAACAACAAATAAATAAACTTTCACGACTATTTAGTTTTAATTTAATTCAAATACTTAGAGCAAAAAGCAACGGCAACGGCAACGGCCTCCGTCTGCCGATAACTAAAACTGTAAAATGGGCGCTGTGTGGGCCCCGGCTAGGTATCTCCAAAAGTTGTCGCCGCCAACGCCAATGCCAACAATGTCTGCTTAATGACTCTCAGATTCTCAGATTTGTGTCAGGCGAAACGAAAGTGAGAATTATAATTACTTCAGCTTTTCTACAAATTTTCTAACTACATACTATACATACTACCACGATATTTTTTATTGCCCTTTTTGTCTGGAAATATGGCCAACTGCTGATGTAATGCTGCATGACTGCACGATTCTGTGCGAGCGCTTGAACTTTTGCATTGTTTCATACCATTGTCGAAAATTTTCCAGTGCTCTACAATTTGTTTGCCCGCCACTACACAAGAGTCGTAAACGACAACAACTGCTGCGAATTTCATTCATGAAAACACGACGCAGTTGGACGCGCACTTGACTGCCTGAAGGCCCGACAAACTGACTGACTGACGGACTGCCAGGCTGACAAATTGAGGAGGGCCTGGGTGGCTGACTAGCTGGCAGCGTTTCGCATGAATGGCTGCAAGTCGCAGTTGATAGATGGAGACCAGCGCGTGAACAAACATAAATTTGTGGTCGTATAAACGGATATATGCCATATGCCTAGGTCTCTCTCTACTCGTATGTGTGTACTCGTATGTCTGAGTATGAACTCATTTGCATTTAAATGTATGCCGATCGTTCGACGGTGAAAATCGAAAATGAAATTTCAGCTTCAAGATGAGCTGCTTTGCTTTTCTCTTGTAATGCGTTGGCTGCTGCAAGGGCCACACTGCAAGAAATTAGAATGAAGGGAAAAATTCTGCAGTTTTATGATTGTTATTAAATTTAATGCACATATCTGCTATCGGTTTCAATATTATTGGAATTTATTATTATTTTAAATAAGTATTTTATTATTTCGTCATTGTTAAAGGAGGTATTTTCTAAAAATTTGTGCCTGTTTTAACACAAATAGAACAATTAGTATGTACTATCGATTACCGATAAGCAACATCTTCAAAAATCGTAACTGAAGCCAGCGCAACTATCGAAGTTATACAACTGAATCTGTTTTAAAAAATATACCTATACTAATTCTAAATAATTCTAAAAAAGGAATGCCTTTAGTTTTATTTAGTTATTGATAAATATCTGTTATGCTTTTGGCTTTATTTGTCACTTGGCATTTAAACATAAGTATGAGCACTAGTATCAATTATTGTTTAAAATTAATTGTTTTTGGAACTTTCTATGTATATTTTTCCTTAAAAAAAAACAGCCAAACTACTACTGGTAGTCGATTCGGTTGATGATAGCCGGCATTGCCACTGCTATATATATTTAATTTAAAATATATAAATAAAGAAACTTAGACATTTCGAATGTTGTGGGAAAACTTTTTCTTACTTAATATATCAGAAATATCAATAGTACAGTACAATTTAATCGTTATCGACCAGGTGGTCGCAGGTACGTGTAGCTTTATATAAACAAGTACTATAAATCATGAATTTGTTGATAAAAAAGGAGTCGTAAAAAGGTTGTTAAATCTTGTCAGGGTGTGTTTTTAATGTGAGATCATGCAATATCCAATTAGCTACCCAGATATCATTTTTTCAAAGTGATCTATCAACTACTCTGATTTAAAATTGTACAACTTCACCCAATTAAAGATTCTAACGTGATTATCGACAAGAAAAAGTTTAAGGATACTACGAATGCCATGTTTTGCTTTTGCGCAATTAATAAAATGGGCTTAAGCTTTCTAAAGTGGAAATGATCTGCCTCGTTTAAAGGTATACTTACACCAATATTAGTATAGTAAGTTAACTGCAACGTTAACAGATTGATTGTTAAAACTAATTTTTGTGTAGTAATTAGCATTGCCAATTATGTTACACGAATGCGGTGTTGGTTTTTTCCAAGTGTTCTTTCATGGTGGCTGCGCCCTTTGCCAGGCCCTGGTTACGAAATGCTTGTTCGTCGCATCTTAAAGCGTTTCACACTTTTAACCGTTACATCGGCTTTGTAGCAAGCGGACCGGATTGACGTCATTAATGCATGTGCGAGCTAAATCATTATATGCGAGCCAAATCACTCATACGCCCCATTTGCAGGGCGACAACAAAAGAGCTGCAAAGCCGCAAATCGCCCGCCAGGCATACAAGTAATGACGATGATTCACAAATTTCATAAGTTGCCGCCGCATGCAGATCCGTTTTGATAGTGTCGTCTGCCACAGACACATACGAGTACATAAATATGTACATATACATAGGTTGTATGTATGTGTGTACGAAGTCGCATTCACCTTGAAATGTGAATAAAAAACTGTTGACTTTTTCAACTATTTCGAGGCGCGTTTGTATTTGACTTCGACGCCAGGCACGCTATCGTCCATTGCGATCGACATCGGCTCCATCTGGCTGCTGCTCATCTAACTGTTCATATCCGTTTTTGTTTGCTTTGTGTGTAATTTCTCTTTCATTTCACTTGGGCAATTGAAGCGAGCCGTAGCTGTTATTTGCACTTTTGCTGAAATTGTTGACTAATGTGTCACAATTGCAAAGTCAGGCGCATTTCTCGGTCGACCCTCTTTTACTTTTCTTTGCTGTCGTCGTTGTTGTTGTTGTTGTTGTTCATTTTATGATTTTGTGGATTTACAGTTGCAGTTTCACTTGTTGCTGTCCTGTCTGTCTATCTGCCTAGAAGATTTCACTTGACAGCATTTTTAAGTGGCTTAGAACGCCCTTTCTTCCAATTATTGTTGCTATTGTCTTGACCAGTACATTGTTGTTGTTATTGTCATAATTGCGTAATTCCAAGTCATACGAGTAAATCACAATTTATGTTGCGTAATAAATGCGGCAGCAACAACAACAACAACAACAATTACCACAATAACGGCAACACATTTGTTGTTGTGGCAGCCATAAAGTCACGAAAATGAAAAGTAATTTCAGGGCGCGCACATGCTATAAACAAAAACTCAATGTGCCACCATCCCCTCCACCTGAAAGCCCAAAAAAGGTAGCAACTACAACAACATCAACGAAGATGACACACACACATAGTCAGACATACTCACACCTCAATAGAGACGGACACACAAAAGATGGCTGAGGCAGAGGCAGAGGGCAAAGTAACAGTAGTATGAAAACTTTCATTTCTTGCGGCCAATATGGTGAGCAACAACCAGTTAAAAAATAACAAAAACAAAAGCGTTAAAATTGAACAAAAGCAGAAGAATATGGCACAAAAATTATGGCCAACTATGGAAGCGGGAGGAGCAGGAGGAGCAACAGCAGCAGCAGCAGCGGAGGAAAAAGCCGCAGGCTGCAAGCGACGACGATGAGCAGCACCTGTTTATCACCTCATGTGTTGTAATCTGTGAGGCTGCCACAACAACAGCAACAACAGCAACAACAACAGCAACAATAACGCCGACGAAACTATGTGGAACATAAAATTCTACAAGAGCTTGGCCCGTCTCTTGGTGTGTGTGAGAGCAATTGGTGCGTGTGAGTGTGTGGGGCAGATGAGACCCTACTCCTCGGCTTTAGGGAGTGCTCTAGTGTGTGTGTTGGGGAGAGAGTCTAAGCGGCAGCCAACGGCAAACAACCTTGGAGCTGCATGCTCTCAACATTGCTCTTTGAGCCACTTTCTCGCGCTCCCGTTGGCCCTGCGCCGCCAACGGCTTACCCACGACTTTCTTTCGTTAATGCGGAAGCAGACAAAAGCGCGTGAGCATTTAGCGCCATGGAGCTCGCTCCAAAACACTCAGCTAATGTGTCTTCTAAATGTGCCCTCTTTCTCTCGCTCGCTCGCTCTCTCTTTCTTGCGCTCAGGTGGCTGGGCTGCTGGGCAGCTGGGCAGCGAGAACAACAAACAAGGCAGCACCGGCTTGAGTAGCAGCCGCCACTCGATCTTGTTCGTGGCTACAACAAACATATTACGAAGCATCTCGTACGTGTAGGTCGCATCGTGTAGGGAGCGCACGCGCAGCCCTCTCATCAACCATCAACCATCTGCCGCTGCCACTGCGACTGCCTCTGCTCTGCGACTGCGTCTGTGTCTGAGTTTTTACATAATTTGACGTTATGCCGCCGCCGCCGCCGCCGCCGCGGACAGTCCGTTAGTTGAAAACTCTTTAAAAACAGCCTGACATCGTCGAAAATTATCAAACCGCAGCTTGTTCCATTCGAATGAACACACCAGTGAATTCGGTGGTGCTTATTAAGGAAGTCAGTTTAGTTCAATTAAACACAACCATGAAGTTCTTCGTTGCTACCGCTTGTGTCCTGCTCTTGGCATCCGGCATCTCGGCCGATCCTGTCAAAGTCGATGAACAGCCCAGCGCGTTTGCCAAATGCCTGGAGGCTGATTCAATCTCGTGTCTGCAGCTCACGGTACGGATTAATGAAATAAACACCTCCCAAGGATTTACATATTTTATCAAAAAAAAAAAGCAAGAAAGAAAGAGAAGCAATTATTATATAAAAATTGGAAACCAAAGAACAATAAGTGTGCCACAGTGAAAGTGAAATTGAAATTGAAATAGAAATTGAAGCATGAAATATTGATCGATTGATTGATCAATAATGCAAAAGCATGCGAAACAGGAACAAAAACACAAAACAAGAGTGAAAGTTACAATTACATGATTTAACCCAAATCACAAAAAGAAAGAAACAAAATCTGAAAAAAATAAACTTTTTTAACCAACCAAGTGATGCATCGATATTACATCAGCCAAAGGATCCGAAAGTGAAAGTGTCGATTCTGATAATATGGACTACGTCACACAATTGCAATTTCAATTTCCATCATCCATGGCAACAATAATGTGCACCACACAACCTACAATTACAAGTACAACAACCCAAGCTAATTTGTGTCTACCCCTCTCTCTGTGTACCCCCAATATAGCTCTTCCGCAAGGCCAAGTCTATCTTTGAAAATCCCCAAATCGAACTCTTCGGCGGCGTCTCACTGGTCAAGGCCAATGAAGGACGTCAGGGCAAATCTCTGGATAACTCGCTGGCCGTTGAGGCTGCCCCCAGTGTTGAGGCACGCACCACCGAAATGGGCAACTACTTCATGGACAATGCCAAGAGCTTCTTTGCTGAACGGTCGTTGAACTTCAACTTCGCCAACGCCGCCCGTTCCGTCGCTCGCGCTATCCCCGATGACATCAAGGCCGATCTGCGCGAACTGGTCGTTGAGTCGCGTACCCGCAAGAAGAAGCTGTTGAAGAAGTTCCTGCCCATCTTGTTGGGTGTTGGTGCTAAGATTGCCGTTCTGGTCGTTGGCTCCATCTTCGGTCTGTTGTTCCTGGCCAAGAAGGCTCTGGTTGTCTCCGTGATTGCCTTCTTCCTGGCTCTGGCTGCTGGTGCTTCAAGCGGTTTGGGTCGTCTGGGCGGTTCCGGCGGCGGTGCCGGTGGTCTCCTCGGCGGTCTGGGAGGTCTCTTCGGTGGCAAGAACTCCGGCTCGGCTGCTGTCAGCTCAGGTGGGTGGTCCTCGGGCGGTGGTGCTGCCAGCAGCGGTTGGTCCTCGGGCGGCAACTCTGGCTGGGACTCCCATGGTGCCTACAGCTCTCCAGTGGCTCAGACCATCGCCTACCAGGGCTACAAGCAGGCCAGGCGGTAAGCTGATGGACTAATCCAAAATATATTGAGAAGCGACGCGTAAGACAAGGAGAGAGAACATTGCAAAAGCAAAAGCATAAGAAAAATGATGACCATTTAATTAATGTTTATATTTATATTTATTTATAAATTATTTATTTTAATTTATTTACTTAAACGAGAACGAGAGTGTGCAGCGTGGCAGGCTGCGCCCGCAAAGTGCCTTCCAAAAGTAACTCTCGGCTGAGAGACAAGAATCAAGCAACCACAACAAACACCACCACACACCACCACACATGCAAAATAGCCACACAAAGTTTCATTGACCGCCACAACCACACAAACAACAACCACTTGAACAACCATCAACTACTGCTTCCACTTCCACCTTCTTCACTACTACTATCTATCTATATATCTATCTCTGTCTCTCTTTTACACTATCATTATTTTATTTTCACGGCCGTTGTCTTTAATTTATGGCCACAAAATGCTTGCAACTAGTCGAGCTCATAAATCAAAACAGCTGCGCCAACTCTAAACTCTATCTGTGAACTATTCCTGTAACTGTAAATTCTAACTTTCTGTTCTTTCAACTATCTATCTATCTATGTATAAATCTGTATCTGAATCTGTATCTCAATCTGTTTCTGTATCAACCATACTCTACCGAAAAGAAAACCTCTATAAAATGCTGCAAAATCAAAGAATCAAATAATAATTCATACAAACAATCTAAAACTCTATCTCTTCTTTCATTTCATTTCATTTCTAACTTTTCTTTTCTATTTCCCAGCTACTCTACCTACACTATCTGCATATCTATTCATCTTTTTGGCTATCTATTGTGCTCTATAGCTGTACACATCACTCATACGCCTCATTGTGCGCGTTCGTCAAACAATTTGCATTTGAATGGAAAAACTTTCTTCATTCATTCTTCTCACTAAATTCTTCTGTTTCTGTCTGCTATCAGCCAAAAAAATCGAAGCAGAAAACCCTAAAAATTTTCGAGAAATTTCACCCACTTTTTCATATTGTTATTTTTTTTATTTTTTTTTTGGTAATCTTTCATTTTCACTGCACTTTCTTCTACTCCTGCCCACATCTTGCTGTTTTGTCTCTCGGCTGCTAAAATATCTACAGATCACAAAGAAATTTGCTAAAAATAAAAACAAACATTTAGCTACGCGTCTTTTTGGCTCATTCAAACGGTTCAATGCAGCGGCCTCCGAACAATGGGGCCCGACAACAACAACATCGCATTAAAGTTTGCACCTGCCAACTGGCAAGTGTAACTGCTATTGGGTTTTTTCATACATACATATATATTTGTAGTTGTTGTTGTTGTTGTTTTTTGCTTTAAGCCACGCTATTATTATGATGGCTATTGTTGAGGTGCTAAAAAACAAATTGAAGAAAGTTCGACGTCGACTCTTGGCAATTCAGCTTAAATAACTGTGCGCGAGCGAGTGCAGTCGTCTTCTGACTGTAAGCCCCTCAGGCCGCTTACAAGCCTGGTGCTTTACTTATGAATACGACCCAGTTACATGGCTCATGGATGGATGCTGCGCTTCGGTTTTTTCAACGTTCAACGCTTACTACAAGCCGTTGACTCTTTTTACTCAATACTCATACATTGCCTTACTCTTGGCCCCAACTACAACTCTGGGCTTTCTTCTTCAGACGCACTCGGCAGCAATTAATGTGAAGCTGCCGCCGTCGCTGCCACTGCCTTTTGAGCATTTTTCTATGCTCATTTAGGCCGTATTCGGTCTCTCGACCCTTTTTCTCAGACCAATTTGTTATTGTGTTTGATTTGCTTAGCATTTAACATTTCTTGTTGCCTGTTGCCGCCGCCACTATTTGTCGTGCCTTGACTGTCGCTTGCCTTCATGACTGCCGTACGTTGTTAAGTGAAATTTTGAAGTAGTTCACCATTGAAGGTGTCACGCTTGAAATCAATTGTTGCCAGTGAACGAGGGACAGTAAAGAGCACTTAACAGAGACATTCTTAGATGTCATGCAATGCGTTTGGGATGTGTGCTGCAGTCGTTAAAAGTGAAAGTACTTCGGTTGTAACTCGAGGAGCTGTCGTGCCATGCAAATCAGTTAAGTCATTACATTATTTAAAGGTGTTGATTTAACGCGTGGATTTAATACAGCCATCTGCTGGGCCAGTCTTTGACCAAAGAAAACAATAGGAATTATAAATCACTTAGGAAAGATGACTATTTATTTACTTTAATCATCGTTTCGAAAATGACTTTTAATGACTTTCATTCATTACATTGCTAATTATTACATTAACTTTAATTGGTATCTAGGCTTATTTAAAAGCAAAATATTTAATAATAGTGATTGAAAAGGCTTAATGAAATATTCTATTAAAGCTAAAACATAAGTACTGTTAACATTAAAACATTCTTAGTATAGAACCTCACAAGTTTCTGATATTGGCGATTCAAGTTTCTATTGATACCATTAATATTTTGCAAATAGACTTCGTTTTCTTGAAAGTCAGAGTCATAGGGGATAGGTCTCTCCAGCGAAAGAACAACTACATTCACGTTGTTCAATCTAGATTTACCCCATGGCTCTTACGCACCAGATTTCCGGATCATAATCCACACATAAACTAATTCGTTGACCAAATTAATTATTGTGCTAGTAACTCAATGTTGAATTCCCCAGGATACATCATCTGGCGATTATGTAATTCAATAGACTGTCCTGTTATCTCTCTTAGAATGCAAAATAGAGTCATTAAAAATTTGCTAAATGTTTTGCCTCTAAAAACTCTTCTAGTGCTGCAACTGATTTACGATATTATTTTAAAACCTGTTTTATACCTTATCTTAATTACGTTAGAGCCTAAATTTATGTGTTTTTGTAATGAGCTTCGTTTTTATTCATCTTTGTGTTGTCTGCAAGTTATTTAGGTTTTCTGGTACTCGTTGAAATTTTGGAAATAAATCATTAGCGCTCGTTGATTTTCATTATTTTTAAAAATTCTTCAGGAGTGTCTGTTCGACTCTATAATATTTTATAATTAAAATATTTGTATACCCTGTACCCGTAGGGTAAAAAGAGTATATTAGGTTTGTGCAAAGTATGTAACATGCAGAAGGAAGCATCTCCGACCCCATAAAGTATATATATTCTGAATCAGCATGACGTGAGAAATCGATCTAGACATGTCCGTCTGTCCGTCCGTCTGGATGAAGGATCTCAGAAACTATAAAAGCTAGAATAACCAAAGTTGGCATCCAGATTCTCCTAGGTCCGAGAAAGGACGAGTTTCTTTTATTTTTTTTTAATTTTTAAAAACAAACAAGTACTCTATACATATGCGTGGAATATTTAGAAATTTTTTGATAAATAAAGAATATTAAAAAAAATGGAAATAAATTGTAATAATTGTAATATTAACAAAACCTTTTTTGATTGATAATACCTCCCTTTTCAAATTAATTTTTAAAACAATTTTATAAATTTTTTTCTATTTTTGATGGTATTTAAAAACTTCCTCTTGACGCTAGCATTCCTTTCTTGTTTTAAATATATTTCTAAGTATGTACGAACGGAAAGAAAGCCGGCAGTAATAATACGGCACAACTTCAATGGAAATAGGCAGTATCATTTGCTTAATTTATACTTATCGTATATATTCTACGCATACAGTTTAAGAACTTTCATGCGGTTTGTTTTTGAAAAGCAATACTCCTTTGGACACTTTCCCTATTATGCGAGACTATTATGTACTGGGCAGCTCAATTTAAACTTGGACGTAGGAGCTTAGTAGATAAGAGACGTCCGGAAAGGCCAAGAACTGTAGCCACTGACGAAAACCTCGCCAAAATGGATTGAACGACCGCCGAATCAAAGTAGGAGTGTTAGCTGAGATTATCAAGGATTCTAAAAAATAGGCCATGCTTCAAATACTAGCAATGCAATTAAGTATTTTCACTAATGAACACCCCGTAGAACTGCATATTACCACTATCTGTAAACACGTACAGGGTTGTGGCTTTTTCAGAAAGAAATGGAGGTCAGAGGTGAAAAAAAACGAAGCATAAGCAAAGCAGCGCTAACTATCTGAGCTGTCAAGCCTAGAAGCATGCCATGTAATTGGATTAAAAATCAAGCCCAGCTTAAAGCTAACAATCCCCGACAGGTTGTGTTGCGTGCTTGGTTGAGTTGAACTTTCTTTACGCCTTTCTCTCGTTTCCGCTTGTTCGCAAGAATAGTGCAACCTAAAAGTAGGCAACATAATTTATTTACCACAGCAACTGTTGTTGAAAGTACAAAAGAGTTGCTTAAAGCGCTTGCTTTACCAATTTATCCAATGACTCAACCAGGGAAAAAATTGAGAAAATTGAAGCTAACTTTTTCCCTTATCTTATTATGGATAGTTGTTGAAAGAAATAATGGACGCCTCTGGGGCTAGACCGATTATCAATGCTATGCACGTGCGCTTTTGTTATGGCCTTTAATGGTCGGACAAGTGCAAAAAATAATATAGTTACATGTGCGAGTATGTGTGTGTGTAGCAGCTATAGTCGACTGTGGCTGCTGTTACTGTTTTTGGTAACTGTTGTGGCTTTGTTTTTGGTAGCGACTCGTGCACTTTTCCGGTTTGTGGCAACCACAAAATCGAACAACCTGCCTGCTGGGTCAATGCACACTTTACGGATTTGGGGTTTAAGCTGCCCATTTCACTACACACACACGCACACACTAAAACGGCGAATGTGGTTTGAGCTGCTGCTGTTGCTGCTGGTACTGATACTGTTACTGCTACTGTTGCATTTGTGGTCGCAACCACAACTGTGATTGCAGTTTTGGGTGCGCGCAATGTGAGAAAGTGTTGCAATATATATAGCTAGTTATTAATCCAATACGTATTTGAGCTGGCCTGACATTGAATAATACACAACGATGTGCACCAGTCATTTGGAGAATAGAGTAAGAGTGTTGTCTGTCATTCATAGTTCAACATTGTACAGGCAAACCAAAAAA